TTTTTTTTGTAGAATTGCAACCAAAAAAATCTGCATGCAAAATTCTCTCAAATAGTTCTTTCTTGGTGAAGTTATAAGAGCAGGGCACTGTTTGAGAGGTTTTTCTGGCTAGGTCACTCAGATAAGCCCAAATCAGTTTCTCCACCAGCCTTGTATGAAGAATTCGTTAAAGCCCGGTTTCTTTCCCATTGGTATCCCTGGTTAGACCCTTTCTCACCCTGCTCAGAATGCATTAATTTGGCTGGCAAAGTGTTGTATCCTGTATTATGAAAAATGCCAGCTGCAGTTGGTATAATAAAAAATTGGCTCTTTTGAAAGCTATAATTTCGTTCTTTCTAGAAGATGGGACATAAAGGCAAACACCAGACAGCTCTAGAATGCCAGTAATAGATTCAAGGAAATAAGCCATTCAGCAATATTTTGGTCTCTTAGAACTCATGATAAATACATAATTTTTAGATGCAACACGTGGGTTAAAGTAGATCCTCTGTTAGGTGACATCACATTTGGAGATAAAAGAGATAGGTGGATTCAGTATGTGGCTTGAAAGAGATAATTCTGTTTAAATAACGTTAGACAATTTGTGAACAAGCAGGTGTGGGAAAGGAATCAGATCCCAGGTAATAAATAAAGAGATCCTTAGAGTTTGTAAATTTGAAACATGGAAACTATAATGCCAGTATTTAGACATGTAAGGGTTTGTATCACTTTGAAAGTTGTTTTAAACCCATTCTTTTAAAACCAAAAAAAAACTATTTAAGAATCGCATGCTTTGCTAATAGTAACTTGGTGACTTATGTCATTTGTACATTCAGCTAAAAAATATATCTGTACATTTTTATAAAAGGGTTGGAAATATTATTAAGGGAACTGTTGTATCTGAAATTTGTTCCATGCAAGAGTGAGCCATAAAGAAGGCACATAACATATAGTCATGCACTTCTAAATAAAGTAAATATTTAATGGTTTTAATCTAGTGAGCTTATTTTATAGTTCCTCTGTAGTTGCTTATGAGTAATGTTTTCCCTTTTTGTAAAAACCACTTTGTAAGAAACGAAGAAAGACTAGTGCTGTGCAGCATATAAGTTTCTGAAATAAATTTGGCAATGTCCGTAAAAGAAAAAGTGACTTCATGTTTTCTGCACATCACTGACTTGCTCTGCCCCAGAATGCCAGAGTCTTTATGCCAGTGTGTAAACATAGCCAACAATGGGAAGAGAATGGTCAGACACTGGATCTCATTGATTTCTGTCTTAGGAAGTTTTACATATCTTTCAAAGCAG